AAATCTGCTTAGAAGAAAAAAATTTACCAACAACAACAAAAAAGGAAACAAATGGATTTAGCTTACAATTGTAATATTATGAAAAAAAAGAATCATATTGGTATAAAGTATAAACATCACGTTAAACTGGTACACAATTAAAAACGTTTTATTTAGGCCTGTCTATGGCCTTCAAAAAGTTGACGACTCTACATGTTTCGACGTTATTGAGGATGACGTTGTAACGTGGAAACATGTAGAGTCGTCAACTTTTTGAAGGCCATAGACAGGCCTAAATAAAACGTTTTTAATTGTGTACCAGTTTAACGTGATGTTTATACTTTATACCAATATGATTCTTTTTTTTCATAATATTACAATTGTAAGCTAAATCCATTTGTTTCCTTTTTTGTTGTTGTTGTTGGTAAATTTTATTCAGCTAAGCAGATTTCGAAAATGATGTTCATTTTTTTCTATCACTTAAGGATTTTGTTTACAAATCGGGAAGATGAAAACTATTACTTAGATAAAATTATTATTTCGTTTACCATATTGAAATTTTTTTTTATTATTATGTTTAGGTTCTAGAACGATCTATAAGACTCTCACGTCGCGATTGGTCTAGAGAAATCTATAGCCAGTGGTTGTCAACATTTTAAGCATAAAATGTGACCCGATTTCAATGAAAATGATTCACTTATGTAAAAGTACGTATGACGTTTTGTGTAAAATCTGTTCATGGATATCATTTTCCGATTCAGCGTACAGGAATTACTGTAGAAAAATGTAAAAATTTCAAAACAATAAAACCATCGTAGGTCTGTGTTATTATTTTGGTTTGGAATATTACTGTAAGATGTTGACATTCCCTAGTTTAATGTTCCATAAGTGAGTATACTCTCATTAATGCTGATAAGCCTTCAATGGACGAAACTACAGTCCGCAACCAACCAAAAAAAAACATTAGGCCTCTACGTCACAGATTCTTCTTTAAATTTTCCTTTGTTGAAATTGAAATAATATGTAACATATGTATGCAATCATTAAATGCTCGATCCGATATGTAATGTGAAATAATGATTTAGGCACGAGCTCTAACATTATTTTAGGTTGTTTTATTGGTGATTGAAAATGACTTAAAAACCCCATTAATGTTGTATACAAATCACCGTTACAAGAGTCCTAACTGTATTTTTTAAATTTGCTAACCCAAGCTGTGCTGATGAGCCTTCATTAAGCGAAACTGCAGTCCACAGCAGTGGGTACGGCCAATCACGGAAAACATTAAGTCTACGTCACAGATTCTCCTTTCGTTGAAATTGAAAAGAAATCTGTAACATATATATACGTTGTCATAGAAACACATTGTTTCAATAGTTTCAAATTCTTAAACCAGGACACAATTCAATAATCAAAAACCCTCTTTAACATTAGATACCGCAATTGTAACTGGAAACATATTAAAATATCTTTAACAATATGCAGTTCATTATAATTACTTAAAACACTTTTTACAACAGAATGAAACCTTAATTCATTCAAAATTAAAACGAAAGAGGGGTACAAGTCATCATTTCACTACATCACGTCAACAAAAATTAAAAAAATTATTCAACATGAAATGTATGTTTAAAACTCGCAGGATACAGACGTATAAAAACTTTAAATAATAATAAACCCTTACTAAAAGTTAAATACGTATAAAAATAATTCTTAGCCACACATACTAATTAATCATAAGGCAAAATAATCTCATTACAACAAGCAGAACAGAAATTAACTAGTCAAAACACAACATTAAAAATAATAAACATTAGTTTAAAATAACCTTTATCAATAAAACACGCCAGACAGAATAAAAATGCATGGATACGTAATCTATACAACTTTTAAATAAATAGATAAAAAATGATAATATACTCTAACCAAGAACAGCCACGATACCCGACCTACTTTAACCCTTTAAACAGATCCTTCGGTATGGCAGTTATCTGTCAATTTGTTGCTATTGTGGTCTTGCACTTTGGCTATTGCACTCCCGGAGGTAGCCAGTTTGGTGCACAAGTGGTGAACTTCTTTATTGGAGGTGTTGGACTCTGCGACAACCAGTTCTCTTCTTGGTTATACTGGGCCCAGGATTCTATCCATCACACAGCTATCTTTTGGCAGTGGTGTTTTGATAGAAGTGTTAATAAATATCGCATGTTATCGTGAATGGTTACCCCGCGAAAGCGGAGTCCTGCCGGCACGACGTGTTTTGCCACCCTCTGCAAACGCTAACTGTATAGCCCCCCAAAGAATTCTCCGTGAATCATCTGTAGACAGCAGCAGTGGTATGTTATAGCTGTATGTTTTACCGTAGAATGCAGATTCTGTCTGACGGGAAATTTTTCACTCGGCCAGCCAGCAGCTGGTGACCAGAACAAAATTTCTGACATTCTTCCTTTTTTTTTTTTGCTAGTATATGGCAATATCCCCAAGCATCACAAGAACAATAGGTGTAAAATGTGGAACAAAAGTTCCTAGATTTGTCCCTCGGTGGGACAGCGACAAGTTTACAGACTTACAACAGATAGCCCAATGTGGCTTTGTCCGAAAACTTTTTCTTTGTTTGTAATGAAGCACAAAGCTACATGATGGGCTATCTGTGCTCCGCCCACCAAGGGTATCGAAACCCGGTTTCTAGCGTAGTAAGTCCTCAGACATACCGCTGTGCCACTGGGGGGCGCCTTTTTATATATATAATTTCTAGTAGAGGAAAAAAAACACGTATTTATGTACTTGTTTATTGAATTTCGTGTACAGCTACTCAAGGGCTAGCATTCCCTAATTTGAAATTTCAGGACAACTAGTCAATACTACCCACCACTAACTCTTGGGATACTCTTTACCAACGAATATTGGGATTGATTGTCGCATTATAACACTCTCATGGCTGAAAGGGTTAGCATGTTCGGTGGCAGGATTTGAACCCGCAGATTGTGAGTTGAGCTCCTTAACCACCAGGCCTACACATGGTTTATATACGAAATTTACTAACAGTTTTTTTTATATATATACAAGTTTCGTCTTTGGTTGCTTAAATTCGGGACAAATCACGAAGTTACTAATACGTCCTAGTTAATTTAAGGTGTTTCATTTGTGCCGTACTACCTCGAACAATTAAATAAATATTTTGTCTTTAGTACTAATTGTTTTGTTTTCTCGTCTGTTATTATGGCAGTGGTAGTTAGCAAGAAAGTCGTTTAACGCATCTTACCTTACATTTACTCAAATTGTTACTATAATCTACAGTATTCCGAAATCGACTCAAGTTTAAACACATGCAAAAAACAAAGCTGTAAAAACCACCATATTTAATTTTCAGAGCACTCTTACAGATTCTACGTTAGTTTATATCTCACGAAATGTCAAACACAAATTTACCCTAATATGAATCATTACTATATCAACGTTATTCATATTTTTACATATGTACTATGTGTGTAATCACATTACTTAAATAACAACACACAATTTTACTGTAGTAAGCTTACTTTATTAGCGTGTCTTTTTCGGTGTAACAGAGGTAAGTTTATGGTCTTACGACGCTAAAATCCGGGGTTCGATTCTCCTTGGTGGACACAGTAGATAACTCAGTGTGGCTTTGTTTTAAAACAAACAAACAATACTTATTAGTGTTGCAAGAAATCGATGTTTTTATTCCTAGGCCTTCTTCGTTAAACATTACACATAGGTTGCTTTTAAGTTCCACAAATGTCCTGTTTTTGTTATGCTATTTATATACATACGTGCTAACATTTCGCAAGCATGTTTTTCGTGTATTCTAATTGCGCATTGCTTTGTGTTTTACAACAATAACAAAATAATAATAATAATATTTTGGTCTTAATTAGTCGCGTATTTTTGTCATTACTAAGAATATGACAAGTTTTATGTGAGAGGAGGACCAAGGAAAACCTAATGAAACACCAAAAGAAAGCGATATGACATCACACAAATGAAACCTAATTTTACTATGTTAATAAAGTTTCGCGTAATTTCTGTAGGTGGCAGCAGTGTTTGTATAATTCGAAGGAAGAGTCAATTTGCATTGAAGGATAACTTTCAAGTTCTGCTTTGATTACGTTTTATATTTTTATTTATAGAGAAAAAAGATTACAGTGAGGCATTTGAGTACCGATGTAAGCGTTCAAATTTTAAGAGCTATTTACAAAATATGAAATTTAAATTCAAATTATAGTTTAACTTAAGTCTTTCATAAAACCAACTCTGTCTGTAACACTTCACATTTACAAAAGTTTACATTTTAGGCTAAAACTAGTAAAATTGGTGCGTATTTACGCTACGACAGAAAAGTCAACATTACGTAATTGTTACAGAAATGATAACGTTTAGCCATTATGAATACCGCCTGGAATAGGGTTTTACAGTTTTGTTATTTTATGCCTAACACTAACAACACATTATATTTTAAAATTTAATTCAGTTTGTAAAGTGTAGGAATATTTCACACAAGGTTTGTTAATGAAACTTATCTGTAGGCATACTGAACTTTTTTGCATTCGTGTAGTAAAATAAAAACACTGTTTGACTTTTTTTGTTTTATTCAGAAAAATTAACGTACATTATTAAGACTCATAACGTAGGTAAATTAATATGTAGAATTATAAACGGACTTTTCTCTAATTTAAAATACTTTTATTGCGAGCTTTCGGCCCCTTTACCGGAGACTTCATCGGGCATCAGTGCATTGTTGCCTGATAAAAGTTCTGGTAAGAGTGCCGAAAGCTCGCAATAAAAGTATTTTAACATAGAGAAAAGTCCGTATATAATTCTACTCGTACATTATTACATGACGAGAAAAAAGCGTTTAAAATACATTTCCAGGAACATAAAATAAGAATACATAACTTTAAAATGTTCAAAACACAAAAAGAAAAATGGCAATAAATAAAGATAATAAATATATTCTCTTTTTTTTTGAAATTAAAAAATTTAACACCAATGTATGGTATTTTTAATTGCCTTTTATTACCACAACAAACCTACATTTATAGAGGGCTTGAATAATATGTTTAAGGTATTTTATGTTTATGAGTATGTTTAAGCTGTTTAAGGTATTCAAAACAAATAGGAAACCCAATCTGTTATTCGACTCAAATCTATCGAGTTATATCAGTTTATAATAGATAGTGCGTGTATTCATTTTTAGTACCTTAATTAGCTTGTCTGCTGAATAATTGTGAAGAATTAATTACTAGTATAAATGCTACAAATCCTTCAAACCTACTTCAATATAGTTTCGCGGCAGTGAATAAATGATAACTAAAGACACCATACATGTAATATACAGTTTACAACTACAAGAAACTGTAGGGTTAATGATGAAGAGCGACATTCATTGAAAGCGGAATAACTCAGTGATATTTTACTCGGGTGGATTGTTATTTGTAATTTACACTGAAAGTATTAAAGTAAAAATAACGTAAACAAGAGAGAAAGTTGTTGAAAAATAATAAGCCAAAAATAAACACGAATAACTCGATAAAATATCATAACGGAAACAAGAAACTTACCTCATTATTTAATTTTTGTAGTGCATATTGGTGTATAGAAGACATTTTAATACTGGAAATAAACGACTTTACAACACCAACTGTTGTTTTTATTTAAATAAATAAATTATATTAAATAAAATCAAAACAACATTTTTGATGTTATAAGGTCGTTTATTTCTAGTATTAAGAAACTTGCCTATAAGTGTGGAGAGTTATTGTAATACTAGCTGGAGTACCCGTCCCCTGGACGGAAATTGTGTAAATTCATGATTAGTAAAAGGTTATCTTAGGATATGAAAAGTTGCTTCCCTTATATGTAATTGTAAAAGACACCCATAAAACCTAAAACAGGGGGCGAAGTAGTGGTAAAAAACACACATAAAAATCGAAAATTTGTATGTACACCTACATGGACCTCTATACCAATTTTGGTGAAGATCCATCCACCCCCTGTGAAGTAATTACATGGACAGACAACAGACAGTAATATTATATTTATACAGACACTTTTTCTTAGTTTTAATCTACGCTGAGATAATTTCGCGACATCTCGAAAAGTAAATAAAAAGATAAACTTATAGTATAATACAGTAACGAGAACAAATATAAGGTTCGCTTTAGAACCCGTGTAAACTGCTTAGAACCCCTGTAAACAGCTACAGAACCTCTGTAGAATTTAGTAAGTTACTACATACTAAAAAGGAGCATTAAAAACTCTATCATTGTTGAAATAAAGTAAAATACATTTCAATAGATCAGACCAACAAAAA